ATTTTGCATCAACATTTACTAGCCTGTCTGAACGACTAAATTGATAGGAGTACAAAGCAGTCTTGGACATTTAGCCACATTAAATCATGATGGTCTGGCGCCCAAAGCAAACTGTCATTTAAGAGCCACTTTGACTTTATTGTCATCATTTAAGAAAGGCTTTAAACCTATTGAAAAAAGGAGTATTTTTATCGAACTCCATAAATCGTGGTCTGAATGAACTAATCCGCGCGCTTTCCCAAAAAGTTAAGGAAATTTCTACGTTTTTATACTGGAGAATTGCGCTTTTATTTGTGGCATCAAGCATAAGAAAATTTTCCTCCAGGAGCTCTCCCTTTTTAGCCGCCATTACAGCATCAGTGTTAAAACACAAAAATACCCCGCAATTTCCGTCAGCATACATCGTAGATGGTTGTTTTACTAATGACAAAAGTTCATTTGATGACACACTATATGAGAACTGTACCATGAAGCACAGGAAGTATGCAGATATGAACGAATTTATCAAAAGAGAATGCTTTGGGATGCTTTTTTTACACATGGACCATTCAATATCTTACCATCGTTTGTGATACAATGGGTCTACGCATTTTGTACATCATCTACCATTCGTTTTTACTAAAGGCTTTAACCAATTTTATTTATAGGTTACTTAGTGGTAAGTGCTCGGTCAATTATCAGATTCTAATAAGAATCATACATTTCAAGAATAGACATAGATGATGATACTGTACCAGATGAACTGTATAACAACGTAACAACTAAGAAATCTTAGTACATAAAGAAGGAGGGAAATAACTTCGTGTATGGCTAAAATACGATGGACGACGTATGACACTTGAGGGCATTACAGTAATGAGCGACGAAGAGGTAGTAAAGACGTATTCATTATACGAGGCTTGACTTGGGGTAAGGGTGACCGCTTTGTTGGGGTTGTCTTCGCTCTGACTGTACATGCAGTTGTAAGTAAGGTTTTGCCAACAGGTAACAACGAACATTTTGCTAGTGTCTTGTAAAATGGTTCAATCAACCAGAATCTTTTAGAAAACAGCAGGAACCAGTTATTTTCGATATGGTGCTGTACTAGCACCAAATGCAGTTGGCATGATTACCTATAGAGAAATAACAAGAAGTTAAAAGCGCAACTGATGATGGATGCGACAGCATAATCAACCATGATTGCACAAGCACAAACAACTGCATAACGAGTTCAGGAAGTGACACATGTCACCAAAGTTAAACAGCTAGGTGGAGTGCTAGAAAATACTTTCAGAGATGACGAAACAACATCGGGCTTAGAAAAAGTAGACTGTCTACACGCGTTCCACTTTAGTCGAAACGGTATCCAGGAGATGTAGTAGCTTTGGTAACTGGCCGTCTTTACTCCTCATCCCGTACACAACCACAAGTCCGCTGAACGCCGGTACAATAGCAGCGTAAAAAAGCAACATTTGGGAACCAGTCGGAACTACAATCACAACAGCTACCAGTATCATCTATTTACATATGCCTGATTCCTTTCATGTGTAATTTTAACGATTGATTGATTAAATTTTACGGCACACCAGTACTGTTAGGCTATTTAGGGATATACAAAAGGTTATACGTAGGATCATTTAAAAGTGGTAAAAGGTTTCGTATCGACCAGCGATATAAAACCAGAGTTGAAAGTAAAACAATAAGATAGTAACGGTAATAACATATGGAATGTTAGTGTGTTGGCAAAAGTACTATAAACTTTGTAGTAATAAACAAATACAATTTGTATCCACCATCATAAGCAAAGAACGGTTGGAAATCTCGTTTGCCACGGAGCCATACTCTGAAACATCACTGCAGGTTTGTCAGTGATTGCTAAATATGTGATAAAATGAAACGGGTTGATCGGGACCGACTTGGCACTGAAGAAAATATAATGGTCATGCACAGATGTGCTGAAACTCTGGACGCAGGACATACAATTAAACAAGGCACCCAAACAGTATATTGACCGTAATTGATATAAAGATGAATGGTGGAGCAGTTATTAACGCCATCGCATTCGCCGATTCAAGTTACCTTTCATTTACGCAAAACCCAAAAGAAGCCGACACCGAAAGCAAATGCCATAGTTGGACAACGGAAGGAATCCAGGCCATGCAGGCCAAGTGCTCCTGCAAGCACACTAATCATCTCTATTACCCCAATGAATGGCTACGCGGCAAGCCGCATTACGTAAAGACTTATACTAATGTCAATGCAGCGATGCAAGAGTACTACCTGGTGTCCTGTGGAGAAACAGACAAAGTCCAACAAATTGATGTCAGTCGTAGCTTTATGTTTTCTACACACCCGCATCCCGATCAGAAAAATACACAATTATGGTTGTCATCTGGGGACTCTAATCCTTCAGTTACGTGGTCCACACTTTTTAGCAAGCCGCAAAATTAATATAAGTATTTGGAGTGCATTCTTTTATTTATACGCATGGCAATAGGCCTATTACAATATGATCACTTGACAGCTGATCCGACCCTAACGAATGTTGTAAGGCTTGGATTTCAACAAACAGCTGTACCATTAAAGCAATTATATGATTTATTGAAGAACATCGTCTTTATTTACCATGTCCTAACGGCAGAACAGCAAACAACAAAAATGAATACCAAACTTTTAGCAGTATACACTTTTTCTGAAAACATAAAGAAAATCTGGCAGAAACAGCTAAAGTCTCACAATATGTAGTCAGGATTCAGCTAGAGTAGCACGCCATATGGGGAAAATTTACTTGCCAGCACCAATAAATGTTTTGATCCCTAACGAGATTAATCAGACCAACCTTTTGTTTCTGTTGCTCGACAATAGATAACTGTACAAGTATGTGCTGAATGTGATTGATGTTGCCAACCGTTGCCTGGAGACTGAACCCTTGGCTACAAACGAGACTTCCAAATCAGAGGAATCTCTGCCACGTATCTAAAAGCGAGCGCCAATAAAATGGCTAAGCCTATTACAGGTTGACCCTTTCAGATAGTTTACGAATGCATATTTCTGCTCTAAACATGCGGGACTACAAAGACTACACACACACGTACCAATAAGTGGGTTTCGCGGATACCGACAGTAACGGAGGCCATAAACAGTGAGGTAACGATGTTCACAGCTGCGAGATCTATGCATACCATTCTTGAAACTGCGTCGCGGTCTGCTTCTTTGACTGGTCCTGTTGGTTAAAAGCAACGTCTGCCATCAAATACCTCGGTGCGGTACTAATATCGGCCGGGAGAGTAGGCTATGCCGTAGAACCGACCTTGTGTGGTGGCTCATAGTATTTAAGACATGTTTGATATCCCAGTCAGCTAAATATCATCTATAGGGTAGTTGTTCTACATTTAGAGGCTTCGTTCACGAATACAGATTATGCCTGAATACAAACATCTAGCACCTACAAGTATTCTTATCAATGGCTGAAGCCACAGAGCTCGATGAGGTGCTCCTTCCCCAAGCGTTTTGCTCTTGTGCGGTGCGGTTTTGACCACGTATCAACTTCATAATTTAATCAGATTCAATGCACATTAATATATACAGTGAACTAAACGTTGTCTTGTTTTTGTGGTACATGTACATTTATTGATGGTCGCTACGTGTAATGACAATGGGGTGTCGACACTGTTGTCTCTTGGAGGCAGGGCCGGATTAAAGCCTTTTGGGGCCCTTGGCACAGCCAACATAGGGGCCCATAGCTATCCTGCCTTGTCCATAGATATGGTTACAGTACTATTAACAACATTGCCAGTGAAATTAGAGGATACTTTACGGGACTCTTTGAGTCTCTGGGGCCCTGAGCACGTTGCCCACTTTGCCCTATGGTTAATCCTCCCATGCTTGGAGGTACCCATGGCAGAGGTGGTGCCAAACTTCGGCCTTTACAACTGCCGTCGATATCTTTTTGACTTGCGCGTCAATTATCTGTCTGCCGTTAGAATAATACACATCTCAGGAAGAAGGTTAGCAGACTCAGCAATTGACGCATCATTTAATCACTTCACACTTCCCCCGCCGTTTGATTCGCAATGCTACAGAGTGTCGTAGAGGCGAGCATCTTCAGCCATATCGCTGTAGACATCGGCTTTCTGAATTGTAAGCTGAATACTGTCAGTGTCTGTATACAGCAGGTGTTCCTTGTCATCGTAACGCGCCTTGATATGGGTTGTAGTAAAGGTAGTACAGAAGAACTGTACTATCCTGTAATGTGTCCAAGTTTCAGCATGACAGTTTCAGCATGGGTAGTCTTCGCATTCTCTTCTGAGCTCTGTCTTATGTATACACAGTACTTACGAACAGTTTTCCATGCACAGCTACTCCATAATTAGCGTCAGTGACATTTATTCATGCGTCTAAACACCGTGTTAACCAAACCGGGGATTAAAACAATAGCCAAACATGATAACAAATTATTCTCAGTTCGTTAAGTTGATAATTAAAAACTGCACACGTTGAGCCGGTCTCATGACAGTGGGAGGATTTGCCGGCCTAACGACATATTTTCCTACTTGATGTATGCTCTATTACCCTCTTTTTTGCTATTCGTTTCGTTCTGTCTGGCGAGACAACGGTAGTGTGGTGGTATAGCGTGACAAAAAAAAAAAAAAAAACAGCTCGTGTTACATCTATCGCCATATCTGTAAACAGTTTGTTTGTTTTGGTGGACTCTCAGCACAAATATTACAGTTTATAATCGCCTCTTTTCGATCCATCGTTTTGGTATTGCAACAAATTTAAGAGTATTATTGAATTTTAGGGTTTTCCAACGGAATGTGAACTGTTTCTTAGTCACGATATGGTATTTTGGATAATAATAAGATATATACCATAATGTCCTACCCAGTCACATTATCCTGACACTAGGCCAACCAGTCCTAACACTAACCTCGTAGTGCTGAGCGCCAAGTGGGGCAGCTGTTAGTACCAGTTCGGTAAGTCTTTGGTATGACTCGGATATTACCATTTCTGTAAGACTTTGGTATGACTCAGATCGAACCCACGACCTCTCGCATCGGAGGCGGACGCTTTAACCACTAAGCTCAATTTGATATATAATCAAACTGATATTTTTTATAGATAGGTATGTGTACTCTTTTGTATACCGAGGCCTAATGTACCGAAATAGATCATATTTCCTTTTTCACAATATCTGATTCTATTGAGATTGTTCAAGACAGGCGTAATATAAATAAATTAGATCGTGATGCCGATGGGAAAATTTATTTGTATATTAATGATGTATTCACATCACGGCCGCCTCTCCGATTTAATACATATTATCGTTGACATTCTTGACTCATATCAGAGATAAAAAGAGACCAAACCTTTAAAAGTATTTCAGATAATTAGATCCTGCCTAACCTAGATTTCTTCCTGTTGGGCTCTTTTCGCAATATTTATTTTTTCTTTCTGCTTCCCAAAAAGCCGTCCATGACTAGCAAGTGGAATCGCTATCATGTGTGTGTGTGTGTGTGTGTGTGTGTGTGTGTGTGTGTGTGTGTTGGAGGGAGACTTGCACTAAATATAAGAAACTATATTTTAAGTTTCATAATTTGACAAGGACAACTAATAATTTTCACAATCAACCAACTTAAACAGGAACATAACAAATAATGGTTATTTAACAATTAAATAATTTAAACAGTAAAATAACAATGTTATTGATTCTAACAACATAAACTGCATTTATAAAAGACAAATTACCACTAATCAATGATATTGTGACATTACACTGCAGTTTATTATACATAATGAACTAGTAACGATGCAAACTACAGTACAGACATATCTACATAATTAAATCTGATGGTATTTTGACACTATAGACTTTAAACACTGGAAAATAGAAATAATACAAAACTGAAAACGAAACAAATACAAATTAGTCTCGACAAGTCACTTTTCCCAACTCTAATTTTCTTGATAAATAGTTAGAAAAAAATACAAATAAATTCTACAGCACTGCATACATACACATACGCACGTACGAACGTACGTTTGTACTTTCGTACATACATACATACATACCTACACCCATGCATACATACATACATACATACATACATACATACATACATACATACATACATACATACATACATACATACATACATACATGCATGCATGCATGCATGCATACATACATACATACATACATACATACATACATACATACATACATACATACATACATACATACAAGTTGTTGTCAAGTAGACTAGCATAATAAGCCCATGTGCGTGTTATAGCAGATTTTATCAACAGAATATTTTTTCTAATGACTCAAGTGCAACACGACTAATTGCTCCGTGATAAAATACTTTTATGTGATTCAAGTTAGCATGGGAGGTTTCCTTTTAAATGTCGTCGTAACTCCTGTGTTAGGTAAGCGATACTTCACAATTCAGGTAAAGGCAGGTCTTACTGTATTACAAACGATATTATCTCATATGTATAGGATCATGTAATCGTCAATAAATATTGTTTTCTAGTTTCACATTGCGTGACAAACATGCATACAAACAAAGACCAAATTTTGAATAAGATCTAATTACGAGTTTTGTGCTGTTTCATGTTTAAAAAGCCGTCACAATTATAAACACTCGAAATGTTGCACAAAGAATTAAATCAAAGTATTACTTTTAAAACAATTCGTCCTCACACTTTGCAATTATGTTTGTCGACCGGTATGTCCTTCAAAGCCTACGATTATATACGTATCTCGGAGTGTGCGTATTGTCTCTGACTTTCAACAACATACTTTTTTCAAATACAGTAACCCTCTCCTCCATGGAACCGGAGAGAGAGAGAGAGAGGTGATGGGGCTACTTTTGGTCAAACATCACATACCCATTAAGATGTAGCTGGTGTGGCTTTCTTGGTGAGACATGTACAATCTTTGCATATGTTTGGTTGAGTTTGTTTAGCAGTGTTTTATACCTGGAATCACTAAACTTGGTGGCTAAATGCAACTTTTGAGAACTACACATTTATGACAAATTAGGTCACTGTAACATATATTTCATGATTCACAACATTACTTTCTATTGTGCGCTTTAAGATTACTTCTCATGCATCTGCATTCACATTTTAGTTGCTCTGGATAAGCATTTAGCTCATGACCACAGAGGTTGTTCTGTCCTGTATACATAATAATGTATCTGGAGTCACGAAAATTGGTGAGGGAATGCATCTTGATGAGTACATACACCCTCATTTTAAAAGTAGGTCACTGTGAGCAATATTTCATGTATGCATATATATATATATATATATATATATATATATATATATATATATATATATATATATATATATATATATATATATATATATATATATATATATATATATATATATATATATATATATATATTGTATGACTAACTACCCTCGACATGTTAATCGTGTGCTGTAAATATTAATGATTACTGATAATAGGAATTTGATGAGTAGAAAAGGCTTTCAGATCATTTCGAGTCTATTATATTGATATTCATCGTATGCATTTTATGCATTTTATGAGCTATCACGGTATATATACACACACACATATATATATATATATATATATATATATATATATATATATATATATATATATATATATATATATATATATATATATATATATATATATATATATATATATATATATATATATATATATATATATATATGTGTGTGTGTGTGTGTGTGTGTGTGGTTCAACAGAACGTCAGCACAATACTGGCTATACAGTGCCTATTATAGTTAAAGTTAAAAAACTGTTAAAATAAAAGAAATGCAATACAGCAGGTATTTTCCATCAATGGATTTAAAGGTAATAATCGTTTCGCCAATCCTTAAAATACAAAAAAATATATGTTTGTATATCAATAAGTTGTCAGCAAATTAATGAAAAGAAATAAAATTGCTAGTAATTGAAACTCACAATATGTTAGCACGAAGAAATGTTGCTGCTAATCTGTTCTGAATTTCAGACAATGTTATTAAGCCTTTGACTTCTACGACACGGTCTTATTATGAAATAAAACAAAAATACACCGAAATGGCAAGTTTATGGATTATTACGAAAAAGAACTGCAGCGATACCATTTCTAACATTTGAATGATATCTACTCTAAACATTGCAGAAATTAGAAAAATGGACGTTCTTGACTAAAATGATAATGAACATGAAACAACTTTCTCATCCTAGATTTTGCAGATGAAGAAAGTTTTATCAGAGTTCCCGATCACAGAAGATAATTACACAAACATTTTAGTTGAAAGTTTTAACTCTTTCCGTATGAAATATTCGCCTCCAATTTATCCGAATATTACTAGAGAGACGGTAATTTATTGTAGCATTTGGCAATAATAAAAATTAAAGTCTCTCAAGGTCAATCCCATAATGCCAAAAGATATGAGTATCATCACTCTTTCAGTATTAGTATTTGACTGAATCTTCATGTGTGTGTATAATATACAGTCATTGTATCATTGATTAGAGTAATTAAGTAATTGTGACATAAGAAATTAACAAAAGTAGAAGACAATTGGGTAAATGTACATGGCCTTAACGTAATGTTTCCTATTCCCAGCTTTAGACTGTACCTGGTGTCCCGATCTTTTATTGTCATGGGTGAAGAACTTTGACATAACATGAAACTGTATACAACTCGACCTTGTAAAGGTTGATTTATTTTCGTGGTATCAATTTTCGTGTGTACTGAATACTTTTGGCTTGCGAAAGGAATCATATTATTTTCATATTTTCGAGTCTAAACGATTTTTAATCTTTGTTCAAGCCAGTAATGTGAAAGATTTGCCGTAACAACTAGTACTGAATCAGTAGTAAGTGAAGAAAATAGTTAAAAATCCACTGGTATCTTCGAAACTATCAACGGTGAACCGGGAATGAAGATGCGGTATCTGTCAGTGATCTCAGAGTTACTGATAATGTTGTTACAGATAGTATGCATGGTAGTACTAATCTACTTTTGGAACTGAACTAGCGTGTTTATCTATGTAAGATATGCACAATACATGAAACACTGTTTTAATTATATATAATTAAACGCCATAGTTAAGCTAATGGTCATTTGAATACAGCAAACTTATATCCTTATATATATATATATATATATATATATATATATATATATATATATATATATATATATATATAGTTGTGAGCTGTACTTTAAGATAACATTTGTCAACATGTAGACTTAACCTTTTAACCTGAGAAAGTTGTCGAAACGAATTTACGACCCACATATTGGTTTTCTTATTGTGTTCTTGTCCTTGTAAACCTATCTTCAGTCCTTGCTATTTAATATCTACCATAATTTAATACGGGAAGGACGTCGGATCTCGCGAGACCTAATAGGTCAGCATAATCCGATGTTGACCCGATATAGAAGCATTACTGATGATTAGTTTATTATATGCCTTAAACGATTATTTTATACGAAACAGACAACCTTAATTTTGTTGATGTTACTATTTTATGTTGTTTCAATAGATCTGTTCTCATTATGCCTTTTGCCCAAATATAGCGTAGCTGTAATAGTCCTTAAAGGGAGACTATTCGTGACAGAGGAATACAAATCTGTCTCTGATGCGTATCTGTTAATAGGCTTCAGATCAGTCTTGGAAAATGAGTCCTTTATCGTTAGAAGTATTATGATAAATATAAAATATTTTTTTTTAAAAGAAAGAAAATAATTGTTGAACTATACCTCATACTTGGGTAAGTTGTGCTAAATGTCTCAAATATTTGTAAAAACTGATGGTTTGAAAACCGTGTTACACTTGGTTAGGAACAGCTAATTTTTTGGAAATGAACGTTCAGTAAAAAACAAGGATTAAAGTACAGTAGAAATATATTGAATTACCCTTAATGGATAATTCTTTCAACCTTATTTATGAGAACATATTGTAGATCTCTTAAGAATTTGGAGAAATTTTCAACTTTTTCTTGAAGAAGATAACTGAGTTTGAATTGAGCAATATATAAACTAAAGAGATAGATTCATTGGTGTTTCCATCTCT